TGGTCGTCCATGTGTATTGGGATCAGCTTCCGCGGTTTATCTTTTCATTTCATCCTTATAAATTATTTTTTAGTTTGCGATTAGAAAGACTCGAGCTAGACGTAAATTTCAGCGGGCATTACGCTCGAAGAAAGAAGAGGCTTGAAGCCGAAGGGGCCCGGCAAACTGCCACGAAGAGGGTCACAACAAATGGCTTCTCATTCTCTGGATCATTTAAATGATTCCAGAGCATGGGATGTCATTCTCGTTACTACTTTGTCATTATGCTCTTTTTAGTATTTGTAGTTGTATTTTTTTTTTTCTTCTTCATCATCGATCATCATCGTTTTGGGCAAATCGCGGTTTTTCTTGTGAGTGTTGCGAAAGATTGATTACGGGTTGATTTAGAGTTGCGAAATATTTTCGAGCGTCTTTATTAGTGTTGCTAGAAATTGATTACGGTTTAAATTCGAGTTGCAAAGAAATGATAATCGTGTTTGCTTTAGATTTGCGACTTACGATTTCGCGATTGTCTTTTGCAATTTTGATTGTGAGCTTTTGTATTCTGATAATAATTTTTATTAAACTTGGTTTTAGAATTAGTGTTGTGACATTATTTCATCGCGATTTTCAATAATTTTAATCCTTAGAGTTACGATATTGTTGCGTCGTTTTCAATTACATTTCCTCTTAGTGTTGCGATAATGAATGGCCGGGTTTCTTGAAGTAGCGTTGCGTTTACAAAATGCCTAAATTCTTCCACTGGATTTGTGGAAGGCTGTTTCTGCTCCTGGATCATCTGATGCAGCTACAAGAGCTTCACGGATCATTAGATGATCATTCATTAGCAACTTCCAGCATGGTTGCATTGGACGCGTCGCTATTAGTGTTGCGTATTTCTAAACATATGTGCATAAATTAATAGCGTTGCGTACTTAATTTCGGGAGTTTTATACATGACGAACCACTCTTCGCGTTTGATTTGGAAAATTTCCTATTTCATAATTAGTGTTGCGAAACAAACAAGATATTCGGGTTCGTAATGTAG